AAGTCTCGAATCTCGAAGCTTCAAGAGTGGCCCCTGGCTCACCGGTGTTGAGCGGGATCTGTCTTAACACCGCGCTATCTGGTGATTCCGGAACTGGTTCGCAGAGCCTGCGAATTCAAGTCTCCGAGGGTCCTAACGCCACTGGACTCGTGAATCGAATAGGGGGATGTCTCCTCAGTACGGTATTTCGCCGCAGGACAGTCCGTAAATCATATTCTTCGGTATCGGTGCGGAGCCGGTATCCGAGCGGGCCAAGTTTGGAGCAGTTCAGTTCTTCATCATGGGCCCGAGGGGCTCGCTCCTGCCGCCACATTCACTGTAGGAGTTCGCGGCTCCTATATTTTTTCTCGAATCTCGACGGTGTTTTCGGCTTGGATGAGATCTTTCGCCACCTCTCGGAGCTCCCCCTCAGAGATTCAACTCGAACTCCCGATGGAGAGTGGATAAGCCTCGGAAATTCTGAGGCCACGCCCGTCGTCGAGCACAGCACCCTCCCCTATCCACTTCGTCGCCTTCCCCAGCAGGAATCGGAAATGACCCAGTTCTCATCGGCGTAAATTCGTTGGCATCTCCAAATGCGTAGATGGAGCCGAGAGATTCTTTCGGGGTCGTGAATCGTGACTTGTGACTGACTTCGGTTCCTTCGATTCGCAGGTTTGTTGCCCACGCGCATGTCGATGTTTCGTCGTGTCGTTTGCCTCGTGGAATTTCCTTCCGTCGCGTCGGCACCTTCACGGTGCCCCGGGCCCGTGAACGGCCAAGAGCCAAACTGGGAGCAGCGCGGCATACGCGCGGGTCACACGCCAATCAGTAAAGTCGGCGGCGATACTTTTCCAGAACCTGCGACATGGTCAGCTCTGCCGAAGATGATTTCGAGGATCTGTCCGAGTCAGCCGCGGATAGAGAAAGATCCGACACTGCGAAGGGCTCAGAGCGGTCTCCCGGGGTCCGCCTTGAGGAACGATTATCCGGGGACGAGGAGCGACTCAAACCTCCCGATAGAGAACGCAAGCGCGGGTCGGCGGCCGAGGCAGACCGTCTCGATGTCTCGGATGCCCTCTTCTCGCTCCCCGACTCTAGAGCTGGGAACGAAACAAACGCGGGTCTGACGTCCCCCGGTAGGTCCTCTGCAACATCTGTCGAGGACTCATGTGTTTACGAGGATTTCTTGAATCCACTATTTTACAAAAACACGCGGAAAGCGAGGCATGCTACGATTGGCCTCAAGATATACACACCGAGAAGGAAGAAGGTATCCTCCTCCGGGCTCGATGCATTGCATGATGACACGATCAACGAGTCTCAAGAGGAA